TTTCAGCTAAGTACGTAGGTTTGTTTAAGGTTTTTATTAAGACCTAACTAGTATAAGATTTTTTCTTAAGCTAGACTTCCAAACCATGTGAAAAGTATGTGTCATGTGTCTTGCTTCCATTGGAGAGGATTTAGTTATAGTAGTGGTCACATAGCATTTTAAGAATGGAAAGGATTGTGATTTGTGAGTGGCCACATGTCCTCCCCTCATTGGAGAAAATTTGTGGACACTTGTCCACTCCTTAAAAAGCCTCATTTTTGGCTAATGAGTGAAAATGTGGAAGATCATGCTTTTAAGGTTTTTAAGAGACACCCTTGCCTATATATAGATGTGTCTTCTCTCTTGTAATCATATTTGATGTTGAGTAAAGTTATGCTGCCCATTTTTTACCATATTACTCATCTTAAGATCAAGACTAGAGCACCCAATGAGGCAACTCTAGTCACCTTCCTCTTTGAGTTGACCTAACCTCTCTTAGAGCCTTCAAACACCACACCACCACATATGGTTGTGAGCTTCTAGCCTCACAAACACCATAACTTTCACATTTCCATCCCCTATCCTTGATGATCCACTACATTTCCGCACCATATATCTTCAAGGGACCATCTCCATAGCATCTTTCTAGCTTTGGCCCAACCGAGCTTAGGAGATTGTTATCAGGGTTTAAGACCAACTACCTGGAGATGGTAATAAAGGAGACTGGTCGGTCAAAATTATTTTTTAATACTGGACAACCTAAGTTTCCCCTCTACTGGATTGAGCAATCTAGGAGGTTGACCTTGTGGATCAAATCCGCTATGACACCCGTAAAGAAAGAGTGGATCGATCTGATTAATCAGCTACCCCTTCGCATCCCTTCCCAAGACCTCATAAATCTAGTAAATCAGAAGCTTTCTGTAATAGAGTGTTCGGTAAGCTTTTCATTATGTAATGTGTTATAATTATCGTTTTTAACTTATCTATATTTCGTATTTTATTTCATATCTCATGGCATCGTATAATACTATAGATTCCAATGCTTTCACTATGTTGGCCGCTAGACGAAAGGCTCAAGATAAGGATAGTGGGGAGGGTACTTCACATGCTCCAACCACTACCACTATTACTCCCTCTCGTATAGTTCAAGATATGAGGATCGTGAGTCCCTCTCCTCAGGTTCCGCAACCCACTCCCCTTACGGTCGTCCCTCCAACCGCCCAAGAGAAAGGGAAGAGAAAATATTTCATGGGTTCTGCAACGTCAGGACCCTATGGCAGCGGGTCTGCAGAAAATCGAAGTAATAAGTCTTGTACAAAAAGCTTGTCAGTTGAAAAGTTTTCAATTGTCAATTTCGTAGGATCCTATGACAACGAGTGTGAGAACAACCGATGTCAAACGTATGCTATGACTTTGGTTTTTTTTTACTGAGACCTATATATTCACGAAAATTGAAAAAAAATCATACCTTTTTATGTCTCGGTAACCGAAACGTAATAAGTATGTTAACAAGTTTTTTTTTACTAGTAATATGAATATATGTATTAGAAACCAAAATAAAACAATGCAATTGGTAGAAACTATTAAAAATCCTTGAATTATTACTAGAATGGTTTAAACATGAGTTAAAAATGTAACAACAATAAAAACAAAAAATGGAAGAGAGAAAAAAATAAAGAACATGGCACTTCCTTGAGAGAAAGGTAAATACAAAGGAAAATCACCGATTAAATTTAGAAAACTCAAAATACATTTCAGATGTGTGCCTCTCGTTATGGTACAAATGGTATAGTACATATTTATATAAACTAGCTATGGAATATAAAAAGTTTACGGATTTTTTTATCAGTGCACATACCTTTCCAAACAAACAAGGACCTTGCCATGAAATAGGAAGAATTTAGGAAATTTTTGTTGGGTTAGTACACATACTTTTCCAAATAAGACCCTTGGTTTTGAAAGTTATTATTACATTATTCAAAAATAAATGAAAAAGCCAAGGTGCGACCATATTTAAACTACTAAAGATTACATATAAATGAAACTTTGACATAAACAAAATCATGTTTGTAAGGGGAATCCTATGCTTCTATATCAATAAAAAGAATCTTGTAAGAATAAACATGCGATATCATGGAGTAAGTAAATGCAAAAAAGTGATAAAAATGAGACCACTCATGTGGTTAAACAATAGTTGAAGTTATAAAAGAAACTATAACTTTAAATTATCATAAAAAATATGTACACATACTCACAACTCACAAAAGCACGACAATTTCATCTAGTTACAAATACCAATTATTAAAATTGACAAATATTATTGATTTTGAACATTTATATTAAAATTTTAAATAACTAAAATTTAAACATTATAGTAGAAAATAAGTATTTTATTTAAAAATTATAGAATGACACCCATCATTAATATAATTATTTTTAAATATAAAATAATATTATTGTTAGTTTTAAACTCAAATTTTAAAAAAATAAATTTTAAATAAATATTTTTACCATTTAAAACACAAAAACTTCCTAATTTTAATAATAAAAAAGTTTTACATACGTTGTTATTCTAAGTCTAATAAATTCAAAATAATTTTTATTATCATCAACTACTCCAAACTTATTTCTACTTTCTTTTCACTGTAAAATAACATAAAGGTATAAAAAGTGTCACTTTTTATATCGATGAAAGGTACAATCGATATGAAAAATTTTCTTATAATCTGACCCATCACAAACACTTTCTTATCATCTAGTCCATCACAAACACTCCTTCACAAGCTTGAACCTTCATCATACTCACATCCAATCAAAATCTCCATCATTAACTCTTTGTTCTAGAACCCATTACCAACTACTAACAATCTCAAGCAACCTTTTGCACTCCACGCACCAACATCATTTTCAATTTACTCAACAACCACAAAGTGATAGGGGGCTATCTTCTTTGCATACTCATTATCTCCATAACAACCATTCATCTCCTGCATGGAACACAAAACAATACATCTCTATCACACAACTCTTTGGTTCTCCCTAACACATTCCAGAACTCTTCATCACCTTATGCCTAAACAAAATCAACCCTCACCTTCCAACAACAAACCCGCATAGAACAAAACCGCTCTAGCCTTGCCAACACCCACACATGGCCATAACTAGCATCAACATCACCTTTGACTTTCACAGGCACAAATTCAATCCCCTTCAACATCGATTCCTCCTCCATCTTCATTTTTTGGCACCCACATTCACTCATTGAAATTAGCCAAAAGAGAAAATAGAGAGAAGAAAGAAAGAAACAATCGTCCGATGAGTTGAAGTTTCAATCGGATGCACGATGTGATGGTGGCGGGGGAGCAACAACCTTGGGTGACAAAACTTTATGTCGTAGAGAAGACAAGAGTTAACGTGCTCCTCATTCGCATTGGTGATGTGACTGTTGGCGGAGGGCGCAACATGATAAGTCTAGGCGTGCATAGGACCTCACGCATTGGGGAAGAAAGAAAAAAGACACATGTTGCCAGATGATGAAGGAGAATGAGAAGGAAAATAAGAAGAACGAGAGTTAAGGATTTGAGAACCCTCTATTTTTAAATATAAAAAAAACTACTTTCTATATTAGTTATAATTAAACCGATATAAAAAGTTTTTTTATTTATTAAAAAAATGTAATCCACTTTTTATATAAGTTATAATTAGAAGGTATAGAAAATTTTCTTATTATTGCAAAAATGTTAATGCATTATTTATCTATTATAACTTATAAAATGTTTTTTCTTTATTATTACATAAATATTATCACATCCACTTTCTATACTTATTATAACTATTATTTATGTATAAAATATTATTTTATTTACTATTATCTCACCATCCCATTTTTTATACTTAATAAATTATAACTGGTATAAATAATCGCAAAGTATTTTACATTAATATATGTTTTTTTTACACAATGAATCATGCTTGTTAATTCAAAATAACAAAATTTAAAATAAACAATCCATATTAGAGGAGATACATCGGCTCGTGCACTAAATATTATGTGGAGCGGACAAAAAAAAGTTAACTCACATTTGTTATGAAGGTTTAATAGCCAATTTAGTCCTCACTTTGGTTGAAAAATCTCAATTTAGTCCCTCGTTATAAAAGTGTTTTGAATTAGTCCTAACTTTTAAAATAGTGGGTCAGATTGGTCCCTTTCGTTAAATATAAGTTAACGAAATTAATGGATGATGATGTGACACAACTTAAAGCTAAACGAGGGACCAATCTCACAGACATTCAGCTTTAAGCTGTCCATCCATCATCATTACATTTCGTTAACTTATATTAACGAAAGGGACCACATCTGACCCACTATTTTAAAAGTTAGGACTAATGTAAAACACTTTTATAACGTAGGGACTAAATTGAGATTTGTTCAACCAAAAGTGGGGACTAAATTGGCTATTAAACCATATTAGAGGAGATACATCGGCTCGTGCACTAAATATTATGTGGAGCGGACAAAAAAAAGTTAACTCACATTTGTTATGAAAGACGGGTTGGTCTGACCCACTTTTTGTAAACCTAATGAAAAACTAGACAAAAGAGGATGAGATGACTCCATTACCACCCTTATCTCAAACCATCTTTTATTTCATCAGTTTAATTTAACACAATTTCAAAAAAACTAAAACAAAACCTTTCAAACATTAATTAAAAGTATAAACTAAAAAAAATTAGGTTAACCCAATCTTAGTATTTCGAACTTTGAAATACTTTTTGAACTTCTTTTTTGTTATTATTATTATCAGCCCTTTAGTTTTTAAAATTTCAGTAATTTTTCATTTCACTGTTTAAAAAATTAAAATGAAGTTATGCATATATAACATTCTAAAATGGTTTAAAATAGGCCATATATGTTTTTCATACAACAAATAGGTTCAATAAGTTAAAGTATAATTATAAAGAAACTTGAGAAAAAAAAAAGATTTTTTGTTTCAAAATATTATAATTTCTACAGACGTCGTTCCTGGAAATGCAACCATACACGACTTAACAGTAACACACAACATAAGCCATATCTGCGAAGGACAACAACACCGTACGAGAAAGAATGAACGAGGATTAGGGATTTGTGATTGCAGTGCCTTCCAAAGAACCCTTCAATTCTGAAAATTTTCTTCTTTTTAGATAAAAAAATTGATACTTTTTTGAACAAAATCTGTTATTGGTGTTGTGGGCATTTGAAATCAAACTCAAGATGAACCTTTTACTCCCTCAACACCACCACCTTTCATTCTCCCAATGCCCCTTTTTCCACAACCCCATCAAAACCCTCCAATTTCTTCCCAATCCTCCCGCACGTGCGAGCACCGTAATCCGCATGGGTGGGGGTCCCCGCACGTACCCGGGTGGCGTGTCGAAGTGGGTGTGGAAACGGATGCAGGCGAAGAAGGCGAAGCAGCTACTGAAGGCGGTCTGTCCCACTGCGACTCCCTGGTCCCCCTGCTTCGCCTGGATGTACTACAGATCCGCTATTGAGCGACCAGCACGCTGGTTCGAGCTTACCCCGGCGCACAGGACTGTAACCGTTTATCTCTTGACCCACCATCGCGCCTTGTGCTATTTACCACTCCCCCCT